CTGGGGCACTGGCAGTTTCATTGTAGGCTTCGGTTCTGCTCTCATGGCTAAACCAGGGTCCTTGCCAACTGGAGTGGCTGCTCCATCTGTTGGACTTCGTTTTCTTTTTTCTGGTTCTTTAAGAGAAAGGAGAACAAGAAGAGAAGCAGACAAAAAAGTGTAAGACAGCGGAAAGAAGGGGGGGGGCAGAAATAGGAAGGGGAATAGGGAGAAAGGATGGGGCAGATGGTGTTAATAAAGCCTAGTGCCTAAGACAGCATCAATGCAAAACAGTCACTTCTCAGATTTAGAGACTCAAATAAATTTCACCATCAGCAGCACTGTGAAGAACAGGGACTGAGATAAGCCCATGAGCAGCCAGAATTGTTTTGTATTTTTCATGGTCAAATCATTCACTCCTTCAGTTTGATGTGAGGGACCATCCCAGCTCCTGTCAGGTTGGTGAACCCAGAGGAATTTCAAAATCTGTGAAGGCCCATTCTGTCAATGGCTTAACAACACTCACAAGTGCTAATAGACTGCCACCTAGACATCCCATAGCCAACATTGTCCTCAAGGTCACTATGGTTTGCAGATGGTCTGACACTAGTGAAACAGTAGGGGAGAAGACTACAGCACTGATGATGGGACACCTACTCCCAGGCCGATCTATCTGCATTAGATGCTTAGAATTTTTTCTTTTCCTCTGACACATTAACTGTGAGGTCTCTTCCCATAGAACTGTTCAGAGTGGTGAGACAGCAGCCTGATCAATCCAGAATACCATCTCTGGAGCACCATCAAGTTTCTCTTACTGTGAAGAATTCTCACAATAACAGATGTAAGAGAAATAAGTAACAGTAAGGGAAATCGGTCTGCCATTGTGGATTCTGTGTTGGAGTTGGCAAATACAAATCTTGGGCAAAGTACCGATGATGTCATTCAATCAGCAGGAGGAAATGCTGAAAGAGCTGCAGCTGACTACCTGCGAGTTCATAAATTCATAGATTTTAAGGACAGAAGGGACCATTATGATCTTTTAGTCTAGCCTGCATAAAACAGAGCATGGGATTTCACCAAGTAATTCCTGCATAAGCCCAATAAATGGTGATTGAATCAGAGCAAACTGGAGAGTCTGTACAGCTTCACTTAAATTAAAATACTACGGGGCAAAGCTGGGGGTTTTGGAAGTTGTGTAGGGGGAAGTCAGGGATTTTGACACCTAGCCAGGCATGGATATAGTTAGAAATTATGGAATAAACAAATTAGCTGGGTGTTTCTTATAAAATGATTAATAGTAAAACAGCTAACAAAACTAACAAGAACTAGTGGTCACCAAACGAAATTAATAGGCAGCAGGTTTAAAACAAACAAAAGGAAGCATTTTTTCACACAACACAAAGTCAACCTATGGAATGCCTTGCCACAGGATGTTGTAAAGGCCAAGACTATGACACTGTTCATAAAAGAACTAGATAAGTTCATGGAGGATAGGTCCATCAGTGACTATTAGCCAGGATGGGCAGGAATGGTGTCCCTAGCCTCTGTTTGCCAGAAGCTGGGAATGGGTGACAGGGGATGGATTACTTGATGATTACCTGTTCTGTTCATTTCCTCTGGGGCACCTGGCACTGGCTACTGTCGGAAGACATGATACTGGGCTAGACAGACCTTTGGTCTGACCTATTATGCCTGTTTTTATGTACTTATGTTCACTGTCATCTTTAGGTTTCAGTGTTAACCCAATGAGATGAACAAAGACAGTTCTTGCATCTTAAAAGCTATTACTTCACATTGTTTACAGACTTGGGAAGACAATAATGAATTGGTTACACTGATCCACATTTTCAAGGTTTTCTTCACAACCATAAGGGCTAGAAACAATTTTTAAGTGAAAGCTTAGCTATAGGAGAATAATGTGGCAAAGAGGGACAGAGTCCCATTACAATTGTGGAGTACACAAGAGCCTATCAGTGACTAACTTCAGTAAAATGTCCACACTAATTTTATTATCTCTGTCAGCAACCTTTGATATCTCTGACTATGAATTGTTGGCTCACTTGTGTCTTGCTAAGGTGGATGGGAGAAGGCCATGTAGTGAGTCTGCTTCTTAGACATCTCAGAAAGTGATGATGTACTTTTTCCTTTCCCCAAAGATATACTGTGTTAAATCCTACCCCTAGTTAAAGTCACAAATTGTCCCAAGAGGCCGAAAGGTGCAGACAGAACATGTTTACAGGTTAAAATGGCATAAAATTCTTAAAAGTAAGGAAGCACTAAAGAAAAGAAATGACAAACTGAATTTCTCTGAACAAAAAGAAATGTGAAATAGGGATGTTCAAGGCTCGTAGTGAGACTGCAGATTCGTTAAATACACTTTGATCTGTTGCTATAACACAAAAGGAAGTCTGATTGTAAAGGCACTGTATTGGGCACTGCCTTTCTGGAGAGTTGTGACAAAGTGAGAATTTTTTGTAATATATTTAGGAGGCTTATGTGTGCCTCAGTTTCTCTCCATACTTTGCATTGCTACCCAGTGGGGGAGAGGATTAAGTTTGCTCTCAAGGCAGACTAGGGCCATGTCTACACTACCACTTATATCGGCAAAACTTATGTTGCTCAGAAGTGTGAAAAACACACTCCTGAGTGACATAGTTTCACTGCCACAAGTGGTAGTGTGCACAGCGCTATGTCAGCGAGAGAGCTTCTCCCACGACATAGCTACCTTTGCTCGTTGAGCTGGTTTTGTTATGTTGACAGGAGAGCTCTCTCCCATCGGCACAGAGTGGCTACACAAGCGATCTTACAGTGGCGCAGTTGCATCAGTAGAGCCGTGCCACTGGAAGCTCACTAATGTAGACATGGCCCAAGAGACGTGTGTCTCTCACCTCCCTGTCTGGGTGGAATGAATAGAGTCATCGAGGAACTGGCTGATTCCGATCCAGATCAACAAGGGGTCCAAAGAGACAACGCCAGCTCAAATAACACATGAATCAACAGTGGGAAACTCTGGGGAGCTGTGAACTCAGCATGGCCTTGCCTGGAGAACAAAGGACGGAGTGGGAGTAACAGCTAGCTTCTGAGAATGCTGGGAACTCTCTCTACTGGGACTAAGAAAGGAAGTCAGAGAGAGAGAGAGAGCCTGACTATGGAGTTCACTACAGCTTGGCTGGTGAATTGTGGCTTGACCAGAATGTACTATGCTTTAACCTTTATTTCTCTATGCTAATCCAAGGACTTCCAGTGCTGTGTTCCAACTGACTAATATAGCCTGCTCTGTTTTGAAAATGCTATTTGGGGTGTCACTGCAAATAGTGGCTGGGTGTGTTAGTCCCTCTGAGTGAAGTGTGAAGTCTCTACCAGGAGTCTCTCTCAGTTGAACTCACTGAGCAGAGCTCATGGTGTGAAACAGGAGTTCTGGAGCCTGGTAGCTCAGTCTAGGACAGGGGTCGGCAACCTTTCAGAAGTGGTGTGCCGAGTCTTCATTTATTCACTCTAATTTAAGGTTTTGCGTGCCAGTAATACATTTTAACGTTTTTAGAAGGTCTCTTTCTATAAGTCTATAATATATAACTAAACTATTGTTGTATGTAAAGTAAATAAGGCTTTTAAAATGTTTAAGAAGCTTCATTTAAAATTAAATTAAAATGCAGAGCCCCCCTGGACGGGTGGCCAGGACACAGGCAGTGTGAGTGCCACTGAAAATCAGCTCGTGTGCCGCCTTCGACACCCGTGCCATATGTTGCCTACCTCTGGTCTAGAAGGTGGTGCAGCTTCGTTGCTCACCCTGAAGGAACAGTGAGACCCCTTGGGGGTCTGGCACACTAAAGGGGATCCTCAAAGAGACTGTTCAAAAACTGGGGGCATAGCACCAATCCTGTGGATCCGTGACAGGGGCATTAACCTGCCTCACCTGCATGGCTGTCATCACTATGGGCTGAGACTAGGGATTTACTAACACACTGTAGAGCCTTCTTTTCCCTGATCCTGATAATGTGTCCAGAAAAGAGGAGGAAACAATACATCACCACCACCTCCATGGCTGTGTTTCAAGCACTTCCTAAGATGTAAACCTAAGGGTAGTACTATCACTTCTTCTTTAAAGTGTCAATTTCTTCCCTCCATCTTATTTCTTCTGCCATTTTCCTGTTACTCCCTATTTCCCTTCTGTCAAATAAGAATCCTGTCAGAATACATTTAATCTTCCAACATATTGCTGTGGCCAGAGAGGTGAACTAAAAGCAGTACTGAGCAACTCACTCTGAGGTGAGAGATTTGCTTACAACAGATCAGCCAGAGGAAAAAGCAATTAGCCAAATGTTTTCCGAGGTAAGTCAGGGTCCCACAGAAGCTAATTGGGTAATGGATCATTTAATGTGATCAGGGTCTTCTAGCAACTTAACTGTAAGCATCAGAGACAGAAGCTGTGTTTTGCTCTTTCCTCTTTTGTGTGTATTTTTCTTATTTTATCTTAAAACACATCAGACTTTAGCAACAGAACTTAAGAACTAAGAGATACCACCTAAAATGAACTCTGTCCCCTCTGAGGACACTTAATACCATGTGAGATTACTGTCAAGTAAGGGTTTTCCCTTTAAAAGGCTCTACACAAAGAAAGAGAGCAAAAATAAGGGAAACTGCTAAAAGGGAGGTTTAATCTTTGAAGTTTTCAATGTTTTAACTTTTTTATATTTTATGTGCATTTAACAAATGTTTTAAAGATTTTTCTTCTCTGTTTGGTGATGGTACAAACAATGAAATCAAGTCCCCGGGAAAAAAATACCCAAATCCAAATTGCCGTTGATGGTTAAAAAAAAAAGAGAAAGAGAAAAAGAAAAGAAAAGCAGCAGCAGGAAATTTAAAAACAACATAAAAACCCCTATCAGATTTCAGACACAGGGTGATGTCAAATGTGAGTTTGTTCCTCTATTTCAATTTTGTCAGCCATACCACCAACATACAGAACAGCATTAAGCACAGTAACCTTTTATCAAATACAAATTCCCTTTGTGCTTTCTCAGGGCCTAACTGAGGCTTGGACCTGGATGGGAGCAAATGGTTCAGACTGAATTTGGACTAGATCAAAACAATGCTGGTGAGATGAGAGAGAAAGGCTCATCTAGAAGAACGGAAGCAGACTGTACCTGCCCTTTCACTTGGTGGTAAGTGCTACTTTTTCCCGTAGGGTGCATAGCCACAGGGAACTGAAGGATCATTCACTGATCCTGTATCTACAGATAGTGCTGGTTTGTAGTGATTTTTTCCCCATCTATCCAGGCATTTGTCACAGCTACACTTTGCCACAGTTATGCAGGTCCCCACCCCTCCAAGATGGATTCATAAATTTTATTTGGGTCAGCTTCTGGAAGTTTCCGCTGGCACGGAACACAGTTGCCTATCTTGTGAGTGGGGTGAGTCCATATAAACACATTATATTCGTGCTCTGCACATAGTACCGGCTACTTCCTCAGTTCCAGATGTAATTCAAAGTGTTCATTGGAGTCTCTAAAGCCTGATATGATCTGAGACCTAGTTAGAGACACTACCTCTTATATCCAATCATTCCAGCTGTGGTCCAATGAGGGGCCCCCACTTTATGTTTGTCTCTCAGAGACCCAGGCTTTAGATCAAGTTGCACAACTTGTGTGTTCAGTCAAGCATTGGAGATTATTTTGATTTGTCCAGTTGGCTGTATTAGGCAAGAGAGTGTTGTTTCAAGTGCAGTATGTTTTTAGTAATTATGGTACAGCACCCATGCACCTTAAGGGTGCTATAAAAAGACATTCACTATACATAGAAGCACACAGTAGCTAACTCCAGAACAGTGACCCTGCATGCTCCGGTGCACTACACTCTGACATGTTACCTTTGTTATAATAGTGAGTGTGTGCTATCTCCAGCAGGCCAAAGACACTGGCCATGCCTCCCAAGCCAGCGTTTGCATACGACTGCTCCAGGCTTGACACCGTGCATTTCAGCAAGTCCAGCATCCCTTTGTAAACCTTGCGGTTGATCTCCTGCAATGAGAGCCCAGGCAGTGAGGATGCGTCACATATGAGAAATCCATCCCAGCACGAACACACATGCACACTCCAGCAGGGGTTCGCAGATCAATAAACCGTTGCGCAGAAACCATTTTCTACTATCAGTGTTTAGGAGTAATCTAAGATACTGCCTCAGAACACCCTCTACTAATCAAAACTGGGCATGAACTAGTTTGAGTAATGTGAGGGAATGCAGCACTGACCACGTCCTGGATGACATCCTGCCGAGCATCCTCCTCTGACTGGATGGTGCGGTTCAGTTTGCTTAGTACAAAGACACGGAGCTGTTCGCTCTCCAGCAGACGCCGGACTCTCTTCATATTCAGCCAGCCAACACCCTGCCCATCAAGAACGTTGTGCACAACCTCCTTCAGGAATTGTTGGTTTTCACTGCAGGATGGAGAGATGGGAGTAACAGGCAGAAAGCAGCTAGACCTAGGTATATGGGATCTGTAGGCATAAGGGGTGACCTGGCCTGGACAACTGCACAAACTTGTTCCATGTAAAAACTAAGTTTACAAGTGGTGGATCTAAACCTGGTTCAACATGCTGCTAACGTAACTACGTTCAGCCCAATCTATGTACTACAGTAACCGTCCTCACTGAACTGCTCAAAGCAATTTGTCTACTGCTAGCTATTCTGCCGCAGGATCGAACATACACCCCTAATGCAGTCTGACTACACTACTGTAGTATCTAACCTAATCCAACTGCATTTAAACAGGAGCAACAAAGGGAACAAGAGGCCAGTAGATCTGTCAGTGCTTTTCATTTCTCAGGACTGAGATAAATGGTCTATAAAAGGGGACTCATTCCTTAAATCAGTACTTAATTCAGGAATCAGAAACCTCTAGGAGCCCATTCTAAAAGAGATGAGGCCTTTGAGAGCTCTCAAAAATATACAGATTTGAGCATAGACTAAGGCCATCAATACCTTCAGACTTCCTTTCTTCTGAAAGTCTAAGACTTCAAGGTGTATACACTTCCCAAAGGCAACTAGCACAGAAATACAGCTTTGTATTCAATAGCGAATCTAATACAGACTTTTTTACAGCAAGTCTGGAACTGCCCTACCATTCATATGTATGCACAGAAGTCAGGACAAGTATTTTTACCTGGAATTGCTGGTTCGCCCCTGAGGTGATGGAGATTCCCTCTTCACTGTTGGGCTGTGCTTAATAACTGAAGACTTCTGATCCACCAGGGCCCTCCTGTTCCCTGTATGGGAGAGGAGACAGTATGAGAGAACAGTCATCAAAAAGGCAATCCAAAGCCATGGCAGCAAGATATATTAAAGTCAGCTAATGCTCCAGTTAAATTACAGATAAGACTTCAGACAAAATGGAAACTCAGAAAAGCAACAGCATATACTGTATTCTAGCATCACACATGGGCAGAAAACAGTAATGGGAACAATGCGGAGAGAGAAAAGATGGTAATGGAAGCAGGAGGTGAAGAGCAAGAGAAGCTTGGCTGCTCTGCATGCAGTTCCATCACAAGAACCATCTTGGGATTAGACACAGTATGTGTAAAAGCTCAATGCATTAAGGGGTGACTAGTATAGATCATGTGATACTGGTTACCCAGTGAGAAAGTTCGCCCAAGAGGCAGGCATAGAGGATGCTGGGAGTTGTTACATCATGCACAGCACATGCTGTAGGGAACCCACCTTCATTGTTTACAGGGCCAGCTTCAGTAATAATCTCCATTATAGTATTTAACCCAAATACTGGGACACAAAATACACAATTAGTGGTGTACTACAGAATCTCCACCACCTCCAACCAAAAGTCTAAGTTAGTAACCAGCTTCCTCCCAACCTTCCCTCAAAATCAAACCCAAGTGACACTACAGTAGGAAGGGTTCTTGAAGCCTCAAAGAGAACATGGGGCCAGCCAAATTTATGAAACAGATTGGCCAAATTTCAGGGGCAATGTACTGCACCGTCCATTTCGCCAGCACTATCAAAAACATGTGCCCAGTTGAGAAAGTGAAGAGATGTGCATGAAACAAAAACTAAAGAAAGGGGTGGAAAGAGCTCATGGAGCCGTGACAAAATGGACGTTACAGAAGAACAATCCCAGCATCATCTTCCCTTAGAGTTACAAACATGCACTCAGGAATTGCAAGAGTTATTCAGCAATTTAAAACTACACAACAGACAGACAAAAAAACATTTAAAACAATCACTTGCAAGGGAAACTTCACCCAGGCCAGCATTTACACACACACGCAAGCATCTATACGTGTGCAAATCAACTGAACTACAGGCTAGAGAAGGCCCTTGCTCATGTTTCAACACTCACACCAAAGATTCTGTTGGGCACGTCTATACAGCCCCCAACAGGGAGCCGCTCAGCCCAAGTTAATAGACTTGGTTACCAAGGCTCACACTAGCACTCAAAAAATAGCTGTGTAGACAGCGCTTCAAAGTTGCTGCTCAGGCTGGGGCTCAAGCACTAAAGGCCTAGCCATGGGAGTGGGCTTCAGAGCTCGAGTCCCAGCCCAAGCAGCAACTTCAAAGCGTTGTCTACACAGCTGTTTTTAGAAGTCTTTGATCCGGGCTGTGAGGCTTGCTGCTGTGGGCTGTGCAGACATACAGCTGTCAAGAAAAGAAGGGAACAAATTGCAGGAGATGAGAGGAAAAGCATGAACATGGAATGGTAAGACCCATCACTGTTTTCTTCCAATGTGTGGAATCAATAGCAAGTTTAACTAAGACAACATTCTTGTACACTGCCCAACCCAGCCATGCTTCCTACCCTTCACAATTGCACGTGGGAATACAGCCAATGGGTAGAATGTGGATTCCCAGAGAGTAATTGTGCAATATCTCCCCTAACATTTCCACCAGCCCAGCCCTACCCCTCCTCACTTTACACCCGGAGCAGGATTGCTCAGTTCACAAACAAAAATGGAAGTTAACACACAAAACCCAACTTTTGGCCTTTGTTACTACAAGGTCAAAGGTCAGCAAAATGTCATACCAACCTTCATTCAAATCCCTTCCCACTTCCAGATTAAAGTAATCTTTACCGATGAAAATGATGAGGGGAAAAATAAATAAAATCATCGAATTAAAACAAAATAATAAATTCTAATTATCTATAAGAACTTAAAAAGCAAACGAATCCTTTGCCCAGCTCAGCAACTGAAAGGTTTCAATGCAAAAAATAATGAGAAGCCCTGATCCCCCTTCTGTTATCAATAACCACCTCCAAGGTTAGCCATGCTGGGGCAATTCCCTAGTGTAATAATTTCTTCAGTCCATATTGTCTTAAGGCATTGCAAGGGAGAAGGAAGTACTCTGCTTACAGCTGTATCCAGGAGCTTAGGGTCAAACCTTCACTCCTGAATGAGAGCTACTGTGCTAATATTTTGCTTCTCTTTAGGGGATTTTTGATCTGAAAGCTGAAAAAACACTTTACAAACATTATTTAAGCCCCATAATCTCCATGGGAAGTAGGTGAGCATTATCTCCATTTTACAAATGGGGAAACTGGGACAGTGCTAAAGTGACTTGCCCAAATCTATATAGCAAGTTAGTGGTAGAGGAGGAGTAGAACACAGAAGTCCTGGTTCCCAGAGTCCCCTACTCGAACCACTAAAGCACATTAACATAGCACAGGCAAGGAAACCTCTCCATCCCACAAAACACCCCAAGTGATGGGAAGAAGTCCTACCGAGAAAAATCGAAGAACTATCCAAGATGAACACTGATCCAAATCCCCAGAATGTCTTACACCCCCAAAATGCCGTTTTGAGGGTGAATCCTTGGACTGCTTGGCAGCCAGAAGCATTGCAAAGGCAATAGCAGGCAAGGGGAGGAAGTGGTTACCTTTCAGGCTGGGGAAGGGAGTGTTCTTGTCTCTCCCAGCTTTGGTTGGTAGGGCTAAGTTGGACAAACTGAAACTTGTGCTGTGGTTCCTGTACAGGCTGCCTACAACAGAAGGTGAAACAATCAAATGTCTCTAGTGCTCCACATACACTCTCCCCTCACTCTTCCTGCAATTCATGCTTTTATTCAGATCTCAGTAGCTCCACATCCCCACTATTGGATTAACCCTCTATATTCTCTTGTGTCCCAAAAACCAAACATGCCCTCCACTTACAGTTTA